CTCACCTTTGAGCTTAACAAAAACAACTCAGTGAGTGAACTAGTGTTGAGCTGAACTGAGGCCAAGCATTGCTGTGTACAGCATTGGGATTAACACAGATTCTGGTAATAGTTGTGTTTAGCCCAAACATAAAAGCCATACAAGGCTGAAGGCACAACTTTGTAATGACATTAAGTCAAAGTTAACAAAGCACAATTAACTCTAAAGCCACCGAAGACCTGTGAGAATGGAGGGATCATAGGCAATATGGCTATAAAAGATCCTGAAAATAATATTCAAGTTTCATTAAACTACAACACTGTACTGCAGTGGCTTCCAGTTAATTGGTCTAATTGAGACTTTGCTTTAAATCATTGACATTTGACATACTCCCACAGATGACGCAAAAGAAATGACAGGATGTTGTCTTTGTCTTGTGTATTGAGGTGGCAGGGGGACCAAAAGAAAGAAAGAAATGCACTACACTCTACAGTCAGCAGTCAAGGCATGACAATGATTAATTATGAGGCAATGTGTCCAGGGAAACCGTGTGCATGTGAATATACAGTCTACATGACAGAAACAACTGTATGTGCGCTTTCCAGCAGGAAAAGCCATTTCTTACTCCCATCTATCTACAAAGTCTTTTCCCTTGCCCCGCCCTCCCCGACCCAAGAAGTCTCTGAAAACCTACAAGTGTCCAATCCTGGTCCGTTACCTACGGAGCTGCTCTAGTCTGGCTTTCAGCTGTTCCTGTTTGGCTTTAAGTTTGTCTTTCCTGGTTTGCAGTCTGTGGGACTCATCCTCTAAACTATAAATACAGTCTCTGGCTTTCTTCAAGATCACCACCTTAGATGCCTTGTCATTGTGCGACAGCTCAGGCACGTTGTCGCGCAAGCGCATGAAACAGTTCTTTAGCTCGTTTCGGCGTTGCCTCTCCATCACATTGTGAGTCTTTCTCCGCTCCTCCTCATCCTCCGTCTCTGTTGAGTTTCGGGATGAGTGACGCGATGAGGTTGATGAAGAAGAACTGCGCGAAAGGCAGTGGAAGCGTGACGGGCCATCGCTCCCTCGTGCGCGCTTGTTTGATGGCGGCGGTGATGCAGGGCAGGGAGCAGCGTAGTTGTGCTGTAGCTGGATTTCAAAGCGGTATCGCTGCTGAGCACGTTGTTCCTCTTCTTGCTTCTGCTGACGCTCAGCCAATGAAGGCTCAGGGGAGGAACTTGAGGAACAGCGGACCACAGTCACCACATCAATTTCCTCCTCTGTAAGAAAAAAAAAAAAAATTAGAGTAGTTCTTTGGCCCCCCCATGACCATGTCATAATCTTGGTGGGTTGTGGCACAACTTTTAAAAGGACACACAGTATAGACTGCAAAGCCCACCGAAGGACACCAGTCAGTTGTGAAAATCTAACTTGAGCTAGTTAGAAGTTTACAACATCCACAAAGAATTCCAGTGGAATTACCAAATCACAACAAGCTATCATATCTAAGAGATAGTAACCACTGAAAAACTAATATAAATGCCAACCTGCCATCTCCGTTCTAGCCCAGAGATGCTGCAGGGCTTAAGGCAGTAAAATGACTCATTAAAAGCATAATAGATTGAGCCACAACTCTCACCGCTAAACATGAGTCACACACATATTTCTCTTAAAACCCCTAATCTACTTAATGCCACTCAACATCTTAAACCTCACCCACACCTTAATAACACACTTCAGTCATTAAGGCTTCTGCAGATTAAAGGTGGGTGCTGCTGTCCTGATAAGCTGAACACAGAACAGTTTGGGCTTAGTGCCAGTAAACATTAACAGAATTGTCAATGAAATGCCAGTGAGGCTGTTCTGGGTGTGGGTGTTTATACTGATAAGCACTGCAACAACAAAGCAGGACTGAGATTAAAGTTAGAGTTGATCATCAGCACTACAACTTGAAAGCATTCAACTTACCAGAGTCGCTGGACGAATATGTGGACAGCTCGCCACCAACTGATCCGTAGTCTGATGTGGCTTCACTGGGCTCCGGAGCTTCCATAAGGCTCTGACAGTCAAGTGTGGAGCCGGCGATCTCCTCAAAGATGCGGGTATCAATGTCAGATAGTATGGGGCTGCAACTGAGTATTGAGGAGACAAGCTTCTCCTCGGCTGAAAGGCACTGCCAGAGGCAGTCCTCAGCTTCCCCAGAGCAGGGCTGGTTAAGCTCGCCTTCTTTCTCAGCATCAGAGTGGAAGAAGTCACACTGCCAGTTGAGCTGCATGTCATGGTCCTCCAGTAGAATATCCGACACATAGCTGAGCTGGTCCTCCTTGGACAGAGGCTTATCACCACCCAGCCCAGACTTCATGGGGGGCGACTGTGGAGGTGTCGGTAATGCCTGGAGGTCTTTCATCAGGCTTTGGCAGAACTCGTCATCAAAGAGCAGCGGCTCTGAACAAAGCCAGTCCTGCGACTGAGTGAAACTTTCCAACATGTTTGAAATCTGGGAGAACGACAACAACAAAAAAAGGTATAAATTAAAAATCTAAGAGGTAGTGGAGCTTATAAAGTTAAAATCCAGAGAAGCTGATCCAGTAGTGTCTTTACAGCAGCGCAGAGTCAGCGTCTATTGGGTTAATCCCAGCAGCAGCAACACCTGTTGTAGTGAAAGTTTTAACCTGTTCCTCTAGACTGAGTCCCCAACCTACAGGCGCTACCTTTTTATCTGTGTTTACATCACTATAACCCCGCCCCTCTGCTCCTGGGGAGGCCCTTAAGCACCCCCCCCTCAAAAAAATACCCCCCTCCCCATGACATCACAGGAACAGCTGGGACACAGAAACTTTACACCTCTTTCCACCATTTACATTGTTCCTACTCAGAATAATAAAACACTCGCAAATTAAGTCAGGCTGCCTGCTGACATAGAAAACAATACTCTGAGTCTAAAGGAATGGGTGGGTTGCATTTGCTACGATACTTAGACCTCTTGCTGCTGTTAAACACAAATACAAAAAAAAAATTCCGCTTTCTGGCACAACACAAAGGACAGTTTCCCAACTCTGTTCAGGAATACACTATTAAACACACACACACACACAAAAAACCATGCATAGGACGCTACATGTTGATTTTGTACTCAATTAAAAGTCACTCCCAAAAGCTTTAACAACAAAAGCTTTAAAAAAGTTTCACTGAAGAAAAAAAAAAAAAAAAAACATTTCTCATTTAACCAAGGTCGTTTCAGCTGGAACACCCTGACCTATGGTCCTATTTGGAGGAGGGGGAACTCTTATAATACTCCTGTGGGGTCGTATGGTATGTGCATGTATAGCAGGCAGTGTGGGAGAACAAAAGCAGCAGTGTGTGTCCGGGAGTTAAAGGCTGCCTTTCTTTACCATCATGGCCTGGGAAAAGCTGAGCTACAACTTAGATGCAGAGCGCAGACAACGATTACGCAGCAATATTAAATACATTGTACACTTTCCTCTCTCTTAACGTATCCAAAATATCTCTTGCACGAAAGAAGGACTTCGACCAAAAATACTTGAGACCAAGCACAGCTGGAATGTGAAAATAGAAGAGCACGAATTTCCTTACGTTTTTGAACGCATCTGCTGTTAGGTCGTCCTGCCTTCATGCATCTGCAGAATCTATTGTGCAATGATTCATTTAACCAAATTCACTAAGGTGACACACTGGAAAAATATAATATAAATAAGTACACGGAGTCTAGGAATGAATCTCCGTAAGAAAAGTAAAAGTCAACCGTTGGTAAAAGCTCAAAGTCCGTAAAAAGATTTAAAGGTTAACCGGCGTTGACGGTCATTTAAACCCAGCATGCGTTAAACAGCGCCGGGACCCCACGTGAAACCGGCAGTCATATTTTGTCTTCTTTGAAGCACCGTTAAGCTACACCAAAAGAGCAAAAATACAAAAATGCACAAAACTCCCATTCTCACATGCGTGCAATGAGGTTTCTGATAAAACAGCTGTCTTACCTTCAACTGTCCTTACAGGAGAGTGCACTCAAAATAAAGACAAAAAGTAGAAAATGCCCTATTTATCCAGCAAAGTCCACAGCGAGACGAAAACGACTAGAAAATCCTGCCCAAGCGAAACTTTCTGCGTGTAAAATTGAAGTTTGTGCAGGGCAGCATTTCGGGTGTATCCTGCTTTTTCTTCTCTCCTCCGCCGCTTGTATCAGCCAGAGTAGGTGTGGCTGCAGCGGTCACTGAGTTTAATACAGGGCGTACGCCGCGATCCTTCCGCCGCCGCTAAACTCGCGCCAAAACATAATAGCCAACAAACTGTCGTTAACGGCAATCAGATCCACCGCTGACATAACCGCCGTCCGTTTCTCTTTTGATTAAGTCCACGCGGAAAAAACGGGGGTGACGGCAATTTGGTTTAATTGCACACTGAAGCCGGGACTATGCGCGGAGTGATACATACGCTTGCTTTATTTCCAGGAATACGGTGGCGGGTAAAGTTGGGAAGAAACACACGTGGACTGAGAAAAAGCCGGGTATCTAACTGCTCACTGCCTGCCTACTTTTCTCCTTCTCGCCTTAAGGCGTCATTTGAAAGCCAATAACAGAGTTAAGCCAATATAAAACAATTTAAACAGTGATTTTTGACAGTCTAAATGATAAAACAGTCAAGTGAACCACACTTGAGGTGTTAAAATGAACATTTTTATTCATTTTTAATGATATATTTCAGGGATTAAAAATGAGTAACACATACATCTCACTCATTACTGGAGAATGTAGAGGATACGCTCACGCATTTTTACGGGTTAAGGGGCTTATACCGCGTTTCCTCCCCCCTCTTTGTCCCTTTAATTGTAATATGAGAAGGGGAGACAGGCTGACATACAGATGGACTGAGTGCTCTCAGAGCCACGTTATCCTCCAAATCCAACTCTTGCGAGAGTGTTTCACCATCCACCCCCTCCCCCTCTACTACTACTACTACTACAAACTAAAGGACCTAAAGCGTCATCATATCACCTACTCCACTTTAAGCTTATGCACAATTAAACATTTCAAACACGAAAATGTATATTTTACAGTCGTTTTTATTCTTCAGAAAATGCTCATGTTTATTTATCTATGATGTAGTTTTTGTATATTTTGTTGCAGAATAAATTCAAACAAAACGGAATGAACAAACACAACATATGCACATTTGACTGTTTCCTCCATTATTTCCTAATTGATCGTTTACAGATCCTTCCTTGTAATAAATTATCTTCCAGTCGTCCCACTCGGACACTGTAGCCCTCCATCCAGTGAGTCCCTTGCAGTGCTCCACTTACGTAACCGTCAAGGATTTTGCCGGTACACGTGCAGACACGTCGGCCAATCAGATTGCGAGTTAGCCTGTTCACGTGAGTTCTTAGAAAAGTCCAAGGAACACTGTAAGGAAATCTTATAGCAACCCCTTTCTATAAATTAAATTAAACCCAACACACGTGCCAATGAATTTAAAATGAGCTTTATTACATGCATTAAAAGTGTGTCTGTATCTATTTTTTAAATTACGTGTTTACTAAGATGATCATGACTTATGATATGCATAAGTCTCCACAAAAAAGTCTCTTATTATAAGCTCAAAGACCCCAGCATGTATTCAAACATGTAAAGAAACAGCTCTTCTTCATTCACTGTTATTCACACACTGCTTTTCTGAGCATACTCTGCGTCTTTAGATGTAATCGCAGCCTCCTAGGTGGTCTGCCACATGTAAACTACTTTCTGCTGAATGTGAAAGTGTACTCTGTGTTTTCACAAGAGGGTGAAGTATTAATATCACACAGACAACAACAGCAAAGCTGCACTGAACTTGCACTAAATAAGCAATCTGCTGCTCCACATTTTAGAAGATGATTTTTTTTTTTTACAGATAGAGATCACAAGCAGCAGAAAGAACATTTTGTTACAGCAGCAGTGAACATTCACACAAAGAGCAGGGAGCAGGCTAAATAAGTGGATTAATGTGCCACCTACAGGCTAACTGGCAAACTGACTGGTGGTTGACCCAGTTTCACCTGAGTATGTTGAACATCTTGACCGAATGACTGGATTCTTCGTTTTCTGACTAATTTCTTAATTCTGGGATTTCCAAATGCTTTCACATGAATCCTCCCTCAAACATCTGCACCACAACATGAAACCTTTGTTAAACTCAGCTGAGATCAGATGATCATTTGCTATTAGTTATGAGTGAAGTTAAAACAACACTTTAACACATTTACAAACTGCAAAATGTTGCTAAAATCAGAATAGTTTGAGGTTTGCTTCAAAAACTCTGAGCATGTGGTGTGTTTGCTTTCACTTCTGTTAAACTCCTACACTTTCTAGTCATAGAAGATAGTTATACTTCTGAAAAGTGCCGTAAATAAATTAGAGGAATTTTCTCTAAAGTCACCAGTGGGTAAATTACAGTTTTATGTTAGGTTGAAATTAGATTGCTGAGTGATGAGGTAAAAGGTTTATCAACTGACTTACTGACTGACAAACCAACTGACCGGCCAGTGAACTGGATGGCATAAGAAAGCTATTAGGACACACACACACAGCCAAAGCCTGAGGGGTGTGAGAGAAGGAACCAGGGAATGGGATTATCACTGTGTGTGTTCTCCGCTACGATCTCCTCCTTATTAGGAATCTTCATCCGGCAGCAAGTATCTGTGCAGACAGACAGGCTGCTGCTGCTTTAATTAGACAGCAAAGCTCATTCACATAGAAGCTGTACACACTGACGCTGGTGGTTTTCAAAGTGTGAGCTGGAGGGCTGGTTCCTGCTTAGAACTTTCAATAAAATACCCCCCCCCCCCCCCCAAAACAAACAAACAAACAAACAAAAAAACCCCACAAACAAACAAACAAATAACTAAACAAGTTGTGTATTTCTTTCTTTCTTTTTTCTTTTTTTTTTTTTTTTACAAACAAGTCCCTTAAATGAGCAAATACAGCCATACCTGCAAAATGGCTTAGTCTAAGACACAAAGGGATCCTATGAATGCAATCATAGCAGCAACTGCAAAAATGTGTAACAGTCTAAGACATCTGCAGATTTTGTGTGTTCATCAACAGGTTATCAACAGGGTGGGTCACATTTTTTTCCAGAGTGTTAGAGAGCTGAAAAAGAATTGAACAGAACATGGTTGCAGGTAATAGTGAAACTACACCAAAATATTATCTATCTAAACACTGTAAAGAGCACAGATCTTGCCAGACTTTTTTCTTACAAAACAGGTGATTGATGAAACAAGTTATACTGAAATTTCATAGTCATTGCATGGAGATTACACAGCATATTGCTTGCTCTTATTCAGTCTGGTAGTCATTTTCTTTGCTTTTTAGGCAGTCTGGCTTAAGGCGGTCCAGGGATAGTATCTTTGTCTGAGCTGCAAAGTTTCTGCATTAGAAGACCACAAAGATCTATTTGCAGGACACCAACATGCCAATAACCTCCATAATAATAATCCATCCACATTAAAAGCATTTGATAATAACAAATCCATCTGTTATTACAAAGCTGTGAAATATTAAGGAAATGTAATCATAAGATAAGCACTTGACTGAAATGGAAACAGAATAGGTAGATTTTTCAGTTTCCATTTTCTCCATTGAAGTGAAACCCTCATGTTAGAGTTGGAGAAGGGCTAGGATGTCTCAAATCTACCATACTGCTTTGCTGAGAAACCCTGCTGCTGCAAGCATGACTTCCCATGGAGTAAGGTTCATCGGGGAGGGGAGGGTGTAGGGTGTAGGGTGTAGGGGACCGATTGGAATTTGGCTGTTGGCAGCCAATTGTTCCTCTCGGTGGGGACAGCACTAGAAAAGCCCCACTTTATCTATGAATTTCTGTCAATTCCATGATAAAGGCTGACATGCAAAAAGAGTTTTAGATTAAACATGACACGACACCAAACGAAGTAATTTCAGTTGCCATTAAGAGAGGAGAGTTCTGTCAAAGGTCACTAATGAAATACTGACCTATGGGGCAAGGTAACTAATGAAATAGTAAATGACATTTGAATGGCATTAGTGTCTAAAATGCATTAAAAAAGGAACTTGTGTCATCTTACAGGTCTCATACAGAAACAACCTTGACCTTTTCAGTGATGTAGAAATTGAAGTAATGAACCAAGAATCTGCTGCACAACAATTTGTCAGTGTATAAAGCGGAATAAAACAAACATACAAAAAAAGAAAGAACAAAAATCACATGAAAATACAAATGATCTCCAGTGTGTCCTTTTTTTTGGTAATTTAAAAGAAGCTATATGGTCTGAGATGCATCTTTTATAGAACCTTCAAAAGCTTCGAAACATTCCACTTCCCAGATGCCAAAGAGTCATTTAAATTTTCCTCTTTTGGAAGTAAAATCCTTTCTCACAACATCGCCTCACGTTGTATGATTACTCCGCTGAATTTGAAATTCAGACACGCTACATATCTAGTTATTCCGAGTGAGTGAAATGAAAACATCCACGTCATGACTGTGATCTTTCTAATAATGGTGTTTTTTCTTATTTTTAAAAACATTTTGGGACAAAAGTTATTATTGTTGCATGAACGGTAGCCCCTAGCAGAATTTTTCGATAGTCATCTTTAAACCAGAACTCATTAATTTGTGGAATTTTAATGCTTTGAAAGACATCATCATGCTGTGCCATTTTTACTTCTTAATTTAAACCCTTGGGGTTTCGTAAAAGACCCCGCATATATTACTGATGATGTCATGTAATTAAAGTGAGGGTGTTTGCTGACATTTTGGAAAGACAGTTTCTCCTGATAGCTAAAACCTGTAAATTGCTGCTGGTGGACCCTGAGGATCCTTTCAGATAAACTAAAATAAGAGGATAATTGTACTCTTTTTTAAGCTGCCTCTAAGGATTTTGGGGGGTTGGCAGGGTGGTGGTTAAGGGCTGCGGACCAAAACAGCGGGGGGAGGAAAAGATGAAGAGGAGAAACAGATCCCTGACCCATCTAATAAGGCCAGCTTGTTTTTGTCACTTACAGATTAACTGCTTGTGTTTTACACCTCAGGCTCTGTTGACAGTTTAAACAGACTTCTACTGCATATTTTAAAAATGGATAAAAATCTCCTTTGGACTCCGGCCTGCTTTGTAAAGTCTGATGCAACCTCTGTCAGCAACAATTGACGTTATCCTGTTTATCATTACAACTATAGAGTTCCATATTAGCCTCATATCCTGAATATTGTCCACACTGGGACAGTCATCGTA